GAAGTTAATCTTCTGACATGTTGGAGAAAATTCTAGAAGTTTTTATGGAAAAAAAAAAAATTTGAGAATGTATAAGAACAAGAAATAAATTATTTGTAGTAGATTACTTTGTAAGGTTGAGAAAAAAGGTACATTAATTTGGGGCTAGCCGCTGGATAAATCAAGTTCCTGTAGTGAACAGTTTTGTAACTAAGACACAACTGTTATTTTTTAACAAATCAAAAGGAAGAAAGTTGGAAGTTTAAATCATAAATAAAGAAAAAAAATTTTAAAAAGAAATCCCTGAACTAAAACTTTATGTGAATAGTGTAAGGAACTGATTGATACTGCTTATGAGAAAAATAAAGCTATTATGTCAAGTATTAGAGTAATAAACAACCGTTAAATTAGCAATAATCTTCTATTGTTATGTGAATTTTAATTTATGTCAACAAAAATAATTGACTGCTAAAAGTTTTGTACAAAAAATTATGGTTCTGATTATTGAAATTCTTTTCGGTTTGGTGCCCAAAAATGCATTTAAAAAAATGACTGGTCCTGAAAAGTCTTGAAAATAAAGATTAAACATAGGCTAGACAGTGTTCCCAAGAAGTATTGCGAATTTCAGTGTCCAGCAGTTATTTATGACGCAAATTTTAAACACTAACATCAAATTAATAATACCAATATTATAACCTTAGGTATTTATGTTTTTTTAAATTGTTCATTTCGTTATATACTTGTTTTTTTTTTTGACACTGTTTAAAAGCAGTAATTTAGATCAGCAGATAGAGGTATCATCAGAGCAAAAGAAATTTTGAGTATTACTATTTATTGTTAATTGGTGATTTTTTTTTTAATTATTCAATGTCGGTTATTTCAGTAAGATTAATTTGAGACTAGATCAAAGTCTGTAGATTGGTTTAATAAGGTGTCCGTTCATTTCCCAAAGCCGGCAGATTGAAAACTTAAGGTTTGAAGTGTATCTTAAACAGCAACAATTAAACCTACTGTAAATACTAAAAAAGTTTAGACATTAATCAGTATACATTTTGGAAATTTTGATTCATTAAAGATTTAGAAAATGAAATAAATTTGATTGATAATACAACAGTATTATTAGCCTTTTTCTGATCTATCCTTCCTGATTGGCAACTTTGATAAGTTGGTTAAAACAAGCTTTAGAAGATAAATTTTAACTCAATAACATTTCTAGTTCTAAATATTAAGCTTTTGGATATGATTATAACAAGTGGTTAGACTTGTCAAAATATTTCTCAACTTTTCTGGTAGTTGATCACCTGCTCAATCAGAAAAGACTGATCTTTATGACACAACATTACTGCAGAAGCTGAACTCTTCAAACTATTGTTGTGCTCAATAAGGCCTTCAGCAATGTTTTTACATGAGCTTTTATTCGTCGACAACTTCATCTAGTTGGACTTTTTTTGGCTTTTTTTAACAAAGTAAACTAGATAAATTTCTAGTCTGCCGTTCAGGAACTGCCTGCTATTTATTTAAATCCAATGTAGAGAATAATTCTGTTTTTCAATGCTTCTTACCTGTTCTTCCAATTTATGGCTTAATCTTGTGTCAACATGGCAATATGAACCTATAAAGAATTTAGGTGTATTAAATAAGTGAATACTAACCAAACTTTAGAAAATTAAGGCTTAAAAATCTAGCACTAAGATATGTTTACTAATTAGAGAACATACGTACTGAACTAATTCAATCTTTAACTTAGGATCAGGAATATACTAGAAGAAACATCAGACAGCTTCAAATAAATTGACAACAGCTCCCTCAAAATCAGTTGAATAAAAGTTAACGTCCCGTCTTCTCTTCTTTTGGTGGCTGAAAATATGAAATCTATACACAAGAGAATTTTGCCAAGAACGATGGTTTTTGAATTTCTAGCACTAGTGCTGTTTCTTTAGTGTTTTCTCCCTACTGAAAACGACATACTTTGGGCATATCTTTTACGAGAAAGACTTGTATTTGTGCATAGTTTCAATATCTCAACAAAGCTCGAGCTTACAGAGACCTTTATTTTATGCTACTGCCTACATAATCTTGATAAGTGAAA